GTCGGCCTACTTGCTGCGGCAGTTGGCAAGGCCGACAATGCCGCTGCCGTAATCATCGCAGATATCCAGAAGGACCGCGTGGACTTTGCGGTTGCAAATGGCTATGCTGATGCGGGATTCGTTGTGCCAATGGCCCGTCCGCAGTCAATTGAGGAGAAATTGGCTTATGCGCAAGATGTCGCTAGTCAGATCAAAGAGACCCGAGTCAATGGCAAGGCTGTTGGCGAAGTTTGCGCTGTCTACGAGTGTACCGGGGTTGAGACCTGCACTCAGACGTCCATCTACGTATGTCAAGCGATCTTTGCCCTTTTCGCAAATGAAACTAACCGCGCGACATAGGCAACGAAACCCGGCGGCAAGGTCATGATTATTGGCATGGGAAACCCCATCCTCACCCTGCCCATGTCGGCAGCCGCACTGCGCGAAGTCGATCTTGTGGGCGTTTTTCGATACGCCAATGTCTACGAGAAAGCGATCGAGCTCCTTTCAAATCGTCCCCTAAATATGCCGGACTTGTCTTCGCTTGTCACCCACCGATTCAAGGGTATGGACCACATCGGTGATGCATTCGCCATGGCGGGCAGAGTCAAGGATGATGATGGGCGTCTAGTTCTCAAGGTTGTAGTGGACATGAAACAGGAGTAGGGCCGGTCATTGTAGTCATGTAGTTTAGTATCACCATACAAATAGGGGAGCATACAAGGTAGGAGTTTAGCAGAACCGTTGCAGTCTATAATTATCTTCAACTCTTATCCATGATCATGGCTACAGTGGGAGGCAAAAAGTATTAATCCAAGTCAGGTACCTGGCTATCACGATTTATATTATAATATACTCTGGTATATTAGTGTATATTTTTAGTGGGTAAATATATTCTGCCACAGACTGTGTCTAGATAGTTTACTGTTTATCTGGGAAGCCAAAGTTGATCCCAAATGGTGGATACACATAACGCTTCAATTCTCCCTTGTTGGTCAGGTCGTCGGAGTAGTCTGTCAAAACCTTCATGTCGTCGGCGTCCAGCTTAACAATCATCAGATTGGCCTTGATCCGAGCGGGCGTGACAGACTTGGGCAGGACAGTGCTGCCGCGGGCAACTACAATCTTTGGTTAAGACAAAGGATACAACTTGTCATCCCGACAATGATGTCGATTACGTACCGTGATAGCTGAGCAGAATAGTGGAAGGACTAACACCTTTCTTCTCGGCAAGCTTGACAACCGGCGCGGCGCTCATCATCGGCCCACCAGTGCTTCCAAGAGGGCTGTAAGCCATGATGTGAATGCCCTTCTGGTTACACAGGTCGACTATCTCCTGCTGCGGCAGGCTGGGGTGGTTTTCGATCTGATTCACGGCGGGGACGACCTTGGCATGGGGCAGAAGCTCCTCGAGGTACTTTTTGCTGTACTACACTGGTGTCAGCGACGGAAACGACACTCGATAGTTTTTGGACGCACGTTGCAGACGCCAATGGCCTTGGCTTTGCCGCTCGCAAACACCTGCTCCATCTGTTTCCAGGCCTCGACGTGGTTCCAGTCCCGGATAATGTCGCGCGAGCCGTCGGGCAGAGTGGGAAACTTGTCGTCGTTGCCTAGATCTGATTCAGCATGATGCGGCCCGACAGTCAAGCCTCGAGGTTCATTTGCCCACCTTTGGGGTTGAGCAAAACAGGCCAGTGCTACCGACGGTTAGCGAGCCGTTCTGCCGCCATCGTTTGTTCCCATCCCGCAAGCACACTCACAATCAGGAACAGGTCGACGTATTCCAGCCCCAAGCTCTGCAAGCTCTTCTCCAGGCCCTCGGCCACACGCGTGTTGTACGTCGCCCACACCTTGGTCACGACAAACACGTCCTCGCGCTTCACGCCCGCAGCAAAGGCCTCCTTGAGACCCTGCCCGACTTCACCTTCATTGCCGTAGCAGTACGCGCCGTCGACGAGCTTGTAGCCGTTCTGGAGGGCGTACGAGACGGCGGCCTGGACCTCACCTGGCTTGGATTGCCAGGTTCCTGTGGCAAAAGCCAGCCCCGTTAGCGTGGCTCGCAGATTCGCATTGCGGACAAAGCATACGCACCCAGGCCTACGGCGGGAATCTCAGCGCCGGTGTTGAGCTTAAACTTGAGGTCGGACATGTTGCGGATGCACAGAAATGGAGGGAGTAGATTCGGGAGGCAGGGAGAGCTGCACAGAGTGCGATCTGGGGCATTATATTCGCGGCACTTTTTTTTTTTTTTTTTGGTCTTGACATCATCTCTGGCCTGGACGGTGCATTTGCTGTCCCCGGGATATCAGTAACCGATGGCAACTACTGTAATTGGTTGCCGTCGGCGGAAGAAGCTGAAGTCGGGGATGGCGCGTGGAGAGCGTGGAGAAATACCGACTCCAGTTGTAGCCACGGAGAAAAAAGACGGAGAGGAATTTTTATGGGTTTGTGGGGTCATTATGTTACTCAAGTGGGATTCCTTTTTCTGGTTCCGTCGCTTCGGGCGAGTCTCCGGTGAATTGCTCGGGGTGCGTTTTGCTCCACCACCAACCAAATTTAGCTAGCCGGCCCGCTGCTACGCCTCTTAGTATATTTTTAGTATAAACGTATGGTAGCTGTACTTAATATTAAAAAGCTATAATAAATAAAGATACTTAACATTAATCTTTAAGCTAAAATAGCAGTTAATAGCTAATTAAAAAACTTTAAAAGCTAATAAGGCTAAAAGCTACTTATTTTAAGTATTTAAAGAGACCGTATATAAGCGGAAATTAATATTACTATAGGAATTAACGCCGCGTAAGGTAGCTAGCCTAGTTATCGCAGCGATTAAATAATAATAAGAATAATAGGTAAGAAGAACTGATTAAAGAATAAGGCTCTCCTAAGATTAAGGAAATTATTTCTCAGACGCAGCTATTATCGCAGCTAGCATTACAGCTTTAATAGATAACCTATTAGAAGCTCGAGTAGCGCTAGAGCTTTATCTGTAGTGTAGTTTTATAGTTTTATGGTTTTTAATATAATAAATAATATTAAATCTAATAAAATACTTATATAATTATAAGTTTTACGAATAACTAATATTAATTTAAATATATAAGCTTTTTTAAAAATTAGAAATGTAGTTTTTTCGTTATAGCTCTAGTAATAATAATTATATTACTAAATTAATAGCCTTTATTATTAGAGGCGAAAAGTCGCCTTTAAATAGTTTAAGTATAATAAAAAAGAGCGATTTTAAACGGTTATATATTAATTAATAATCGTATTTAATAGATACATTAATAGTAAAAAGAATAAAGATAGGTGATAATTATCCCGGTATTTTGTGGCTGTCCCATATTCTTGTGGCTGCCTAGATGGCTCGTCCACTTAGTCGCTGACGGGTATCTAGATTTCTGTTGACAAACTGAGTCCTCTGTTCTGCAGCTGGCTCCTCGAGCGTGAGAACGGGCATAGGCGAAAACGCGACGCGACACGACTACGACTACCTCCTCTCCCTCTTGCCTAGAAAATTTCGGCCTTGGAGAATTTCATTTCAGGATTATTGAGCTTTTCAATTATCCGTTGTTTTTGCAATGGAGTTAGAAAGTGTGTAACATTACTATATAGCTCCTGGGGAAGTCTATCAAGTGGCCCCAAAGCGGCTTCAGTGTGATCGGAGACTATCCATTTGTGGCGACGCTACAATAGTTAAACAAAGATGTCGGTTGGGAGAAACCATGAGCAGAAGTATCGCATTTATGCTAGTAAAGCAATGATCGAACCCTGGCCCTTGAAGCTTGGAGTCCTCAATCCAGGACAAAGAAGGGAGTGTCCGATATTCCGCAGCTGAAGCCTTGGCCGGGCAGTCAAATTTATCGGGACCGGCCATCGCAGGCATAACGGAGCTGCTCTATCACAAAGAGAGGGGCATCCGATCTGCCGCAGCCCGAGCCTTAGGCGGCCAGTCGAACTTATCGGAAGCGGCCATCACGGGCCTAACGGCGCTGCTCCAAGTCGTTTTTCCACTAGATGCTCTAAGCTGAAAGTAAAATATACAGCGTAAGGCTTTTCTCCATTCCCTCACTTCCCAAGTCCGCCCATGTAGAGACAGCCTTCGGCTGAATAACTTTAATATTCTAAAATTCAGTCGTGTAACATTTGGCCATGAATTACGTGGCGGGAGAAGGGCGTGTTGTTAGCGGGAGTCGCCGTGGCGACGATTAATTATCGCGGTATAACAAGGAATTATTAGCAGTAAAACTTGACATCTGTCACCTGCGCAGTACCAGCTTTAATGCCCCGCAACAGCAGACATCTCCGCTCTGAACCGGGCACGAGTTCCATGTCCCCTATTGACCCAACATAAATACTATCCAGTCCCCACATGGTGGTGCTCGACGCGCGCTGCTCCTCTCCTTCTTTGCCGATGGTTTAGTTTAATGTCTGTTTCGCCTAGCTCCATTTACGAACCAGGCAGCTTATAACCAGGCCCTTTCACCTGGCTTTGTCGTGGCTGTTCAAGAGGAGTTGTAAGCATGCCACCAAGTTTACAGACCTGCCCGCTCCAGGTCATTGAACACATCGTTGAGCTGCTAGACCTGGCTGACATTCGCAACCTACGACTCAGCTGCGTAACTCTGGCTATGAAAGCCTCTAGTAAGCTTTTTGAGTCCTTATATGTCGATCTAACAGCGGATTCTCTGCTCGCCTTTACGGAAGCAACGCGGACAGACAGTCCCTTGTCCAAGATTAACACATTGCATCTCGTCGGAACTATTTGTGAGCTTGAAGATAGCACGGTTCCCTCTTGGGAAAGAAAATTCAGCTGCAGTGCTCAATCTAAAGATCAACTTCAACTGCTAAGTCAAGCATTCGATGGACTCGCAAAATACAACAAAGATGGCACTCTGTCGTTGCTTTCACTACGAGTTGTAATTTTAAGGATAAACAATAAAAGGGACCTGCCGCGCAGTACATTCCGAGGATACCCACCAGAGAGCTTACGGCAATGTACTGTCAATACCTTCAATATGGCCATTCGAGCATTAGCCGCAAGCAAATTACGAGTCAGACAACTGAATATTTTCAATGATCGGGACATGCAAAACTGCAGTCTGTCTTGCGATCAATTGAACATGTTCGATTGGACAGAGGCCAGCGTCATTGACTCACTGGCCCCGGTTACGACGCTTTCAATAAGTCTCACTGATAGAGTATTTACATTTAATGAAGACGAAGAGATGGATGAGGATTTCAGCGATGATGGTTCGGGAGACAAAGCCGACTGGCAACCAACACGAAGGGACGCAGAGATCATGACAGCGTCTCGCCAAGAGAGCAATTTCAGCGTTCTGGCCAACTTGATTGCTATTTGCCCCCATCTGGATGACTTTGAGCTACATTACCAATCGATCATGTGGCTAAATAGTCACCTATCTCGCAACTTCCCACGTCAAGACATACTTCGGCATTTGGCTGGACTAGATAATCCGCCCATCTTGAGGCGATGCAGAGTACGAGGAGCTACCGTGAGAGGTATAGATTTGCTCAACTTTATCCGCCGATCAAGAGTCGCGGAGGCATCTATTGAGGTAATAACTCTTGAGCAAGGAAGTTTGCGACCTATCGTCGATTACTGCACTAGTGAGTCGGCTGATATCACCAAGCTCCATATTGACACCGTGTTTGAGAAGAGCGAGGAAGGTTATACTGGACTGGTTCATTTTCTCGACGAGGGAGAGTCTCGAAGATACGGGGGCAGGTTCGAGGTCGGGACCGAAATCTTGAATCGTGAGGGCGACGGTAGGACAGAGCCCGTCACCTACTATGTCCGCCGCCCGGTTGCAGAAGGAAACCCAACTATATATGAATGGAGGAGACTTATGCGACAAGAGTATGGATAATCACATGTTAAAAATAACTTAATAATATATATTTATAGGTGGAATTAAGCCAAGCCCACCTTAAAAATTGGCTAGCAGGCCCAGAGCTCTAGGGCAGGGAAAACTTAAGCTAGCACGTATTATAGCCAGAGTATTAACAAGAAAACTACATTTTCATTTTTCAAAAAAGCTTAAATAATTAATAATAAATCTAAAAACTTATAATCTTATAAGTATTTTATTAGATTTAATATTATTTATTATATTAGAAACTATAAAAACTATAAAACTATAAAACTATACTACTTCCAATGCTCTGAAATTTATGGCTATAATATAGTATACCATAAAAAAATTAAGATAGTAGGTTAAGAATAGGTGAAAGCGAATAATTAACACTTATAACTTATATAAGAAGAAATATATCTTATATTATAACGTGTTATAAGATAAAGAAGGCTTTATAAATATAAGTTGGTTTTTTTAACCCTAAGGGCTTTTCTTCTTAAAATAAGGGTTAATATACTAGAATAGCTTTAAAGCTCTAGGGTACTTATAATAATAATATATATTTA